TGCTAAGGGTGAAGTTAGAAATATGAAACTAGTCTAAGAAATTCTAGTAAGTCATCTGAGATAGAGCAAAATGTATCAAGCTTTCTTTAAAGAGCCTGGTATTAAAAGACATTTATTAACTGTTTTTAGAAAAGAAGAGGTTAAAGACTTTAAATAACTTTCTAATGAGTTAAAATTTTATCTTTCCCTTGTAGAGTTAGTTCATTTACTCAACTTGCAAGCCTTTCTTCATGCATCACTAATATAAGTCATTTACATTCCTTAAGTCTGTTGTATGTAGAGAAAAGATCCATTTTATTTTGAATAGAAAAGGTCACATGAAAAATCAAAACATACAGATTACTAATAGACAAGAATGACAGCACTCTTATTCTTCTCCATGGTGACATAATTTTATTTCATAGCACAGCAGAAGAGCTTCCTTTACTTTTGTACTTTTTTCTGAGTTGAAATTCTTTTGACAGAAAACCTACAATTAATACTATAGAAAAACGGTATGGAATTAATTGCATCAAAGTGGTATGAGCTATATGAGCATTAACTTTGAGTGATGTGCAAGCGTTACTCTGCTACTGCTATCAGCTCAGTGATTTTATGATTCCTGTCAGCAATGGATGATAAAACAAAGAAGATAAAGAGAACTAGGCATATTTCTCCTTTGTTACAGAAGAGAAAGGGCTATTTTAAAGAGACAGGCAATTTAGTAGGCTTGAAAGACATGCTGAACCTAATTACAATGTTCTAATCAATCCTTAGTCTTTCAAATTTTTATTTTCTGTAATCTCAGAAGCTCAATTCTTTCTGGGTACCTTCCATCAATTCTTTGAGACATGAATAACTTTAAAAAAAAAAAACAAAAAAAACCCCCCAAAAACCACAACAACAAAAAAACACACTTAAAAATCCCAGGAAACCAATGAAACACGTGCTGTGTTGATTCATTAGTATTAAACTGCTATCATAGAAAATCTGCTATCATACAGAAGAGCTAAAAGATAGCAATAGGAATTAATCAGATACAAATCCTGTTTCTCCATAGGATGATTCCTGTATCACCTACCAGAAATACTTCTCGGACCCCCAAAATACATAAAACGAGAAATGCAGAAACATAAATGCTGATCAACATATCCTGCAAAGAAAAAGAAACAAGGATAAATATTGACTTGACTTTCTGTCCTTCTCTCAGCCATCAGCATAAAAAGAACTGCAGCAGCCAAAAACAAGCAGGTGCTTTGCAGCAGCAGTAAGGAGGATCACCAGAGGGAAGACTGGGAAATTCAAGGCTTGAGCTGAAGGGATGCTAATCTGAAGTCATAATTCAGATTTTTGGTAAGAGGAGCAGGTAAGGATATTGAACAAACCTTTTCAAATAGCAATGGTACAACCTTTAGATCTGGTTACTTCATTCAATGAAAGTAGGGCATTTGTGGGGGTGATGCATATAGATAATGCCACCAGGCTTTCAAACCTTTTTTTTTTTCCTGTGTTCAGAATTCTAGCACCTGAGTAAGGCTATTGTTAACACCTGAAATTACACAGGGGCTTTAATAAGACATCTTGTGCTGAGCTGACCCTGACTGTCAGGTCAGCAATGTCAGGTGCCCACTAATACTCCTTTGTCACTCCTTTCAGCTCGACAGGGGAGAGAAAATATAATGAAGGTCTGGTGGGTTAAAGGTAGGGAGACATCACTCACCAACTTCTGTCACAGGCAAAACAGACTCAAACCAGGGAAATTTACTTAAATATAATCAAGTCAGAGCAGGTCAATAATAAATATTCCCAAATCTTAAAACACCTTCCCTCCCATACCCTCCCTTCTTTACAGGCTGAAATTCATTGTTGACTTTCCTCCCTCCTCCCCACCAGAGGCACAGAATGAGGCTGTGCTCAGTACATCTCCTTATCTCTGCTCTTCCTTCCTCATCACATTCTTCCCCTGCTCCAGCATGGGTCCCTCCCACAGGGCTCAGTCCTTCAGGAGCAGGTTGTTCCACAGAATATGGTACATATGTGTATATATATATATATATATATATATATGTATGTATATATAGATAGATAGATGTATGTATGTATGTATGTTTGTGTATACATGTGGTCCTCCACGTCTTGCTATACAAAAACAATCCTGCTGTTTTCAGTACAGGTGCTTTCACAAAGCCTAGTGGAAGAATTCTTCCTTTTTTAATTACTGATATGTATGCCTATACTGAAATATTTTTCTTAGCAATTTTATCTCAGATTGGATTAGGGGAATCAAGAAAAAAAGAATTCAGTTGAACTAATATCCTACATCACAGCTTTGAATTCATACATTTCCTCTCTTCAGTTCCTGTATCAGGGACCATATTTTTTTCCAATCTTAATTTCATCATATTATTTCTTTATAGGTAATTTGCCCTATCTATGTTGTATTTTTTCCCTTTTAGATCTTTCTAATATGTCAGTGATTCCAAATTTAATATAATTCAAAGGTTTTTGTTGAGCTATTTACAATCCTGGTACCTGTCCTCAGTCTGATGATGATTCTTTAAGATTTATCTTAGTAGCTCTCCCTGTCATGATCATTGTGCACATGTGTTAGTATTAAGGACACTAGTTATTTTTTAATTAATTTTGACAGAGAGGATTTTTACTCTAAATCAATCAAGCAGTTAATCTTGTGTAGTGCTGATCCATGGTCCAAGGGAGACTTTCCCAATGAAAACGAATTACTGGCTTTGCACAAAGGACTGGTAAGTCCTGCTCCAGTACAATTTGTACATCCTTGATCAGGAAAGACAGGAGCAGACCAGAAAAAGGAGTCAAAAGTCCATTCTGTTGAGACAGACTAAAATAATGTGACTTTTTAAACTAATAGAATGAAAACTTAATATGGATTGCCACTTTAAAGCTCGCATTGGATCTCAGCTTTATAATTTAAGACTGAAAATCTAAAAGAAAATATCTCGGTAATAGCAATGAATAAACGTTTAAATATTTTATTACTTCAGAAACTGAAAAGTGAAATGCACCAAGACTTATCAGTTTAAGTTAGATTTGACCCTAGAGGGCCCTTCCAGTCCATGTCATCATACATTTCTACGTACTTAGGTTTAACCCAATTTCAAATTATTTTGTAAAGCAAAGTTATTGCATTAAAGCAAACGTGATTTTTCATAATTTGGGAGGATAATTTATTGGAATGTGAATCACCATATTCCTCATTTTCTCAGTTGTCTGTTATCAGATACCAAGATTTGGTTTGACATGTAGGATTACTTTTGGTTTAATCTTTGTTTATTCTGAGGACAATTAGAATGATGCTTGTAATTTTTAATGTATGATCACAGAAGGTGGCTAAAATGTAGGTGGGGCATGTAGGACAGCACTTTCTTGCAGAGCAGAACAAAAAAAAATTAATATTGTCTCCATTCTGCAGCTGGATTCTCTAACTAATGCAGAGTGTCTTTTCTTTGTTATCTGGATTCTCTAACTAATGCAGAGTGTCTTTTCTTTGTTATAGCTTGCCATTTTCATCAAAATGTGGACAATTAATTTGCTCAGAAACCTCTGTTTTTTAAATTGGGCTGCTATAAAATGCCCAGTTCAAAAGCACTTAGAAAGAAAAGCAATTAGACCTATCTAGCTGCAGTAACAACTAGATAAGAGCTAGCCAAGTTATGCTAGCTAAGCTGGCTAACAGCTAAGAGCTCCTCCTCAGGATACTACATTAAAGAGGTTAATACTCTTCTGCCCCAAAAATTTTGTTTTCTGAGGTTGGAGGGACATTACCCAACTGATACAATGAAAAGAACAAAGAAGACTAAGGCAGAAACTATATGAAGAAACTCATTTTAATACACTCATCAATCACAGACATACTTCATAGCTTGTAATCACAAAATGTTTGAAGTGATTAAACAAATGTCTACATTTCTCAAATTGTCTCTGAAGAAGCACAGGGTGATTGCATTATTTTTCTGCTGGTCACATGCAAACATAACACCAAATAGCTGTGGCACATGGCCCCTACAACTGAAGTTCCATGCTGGTAAGTACAATAATTCATAAAATAGAGGTATCAAAAGTAGGGTTTCTGGTTGCTTTTTTAATCTGCTGTAAATGCAATATTTAATGCAAATACAATATAAGGAAGTTGATTTACCCTTCTTCATTACTGGAATCATAATACAAAGGGAATACAATATTTCTATGAATATCTATTTGTTCAGGTTAGTGAAAATAAAGGTCGATAATTATTTGAACATGGTAATAAAATGAAAAATGAAAGTGTTTTGTAATGGATTATTACATTTTATGACCATACATTTATTTTACATAATTCAAACTGTTTCATCCCTACTGTGTGTAAGGAAAAAAAAAACCCTAATATGTAGGTATTAATTTTAAAATGGAGTCAGGTATAAATAATCAGCTTAATGAAACAACAAAGAAATTTGAATTTTCCTGGGTTTAACAAATTTTTAGTTAAGACAGATTGACTGGACAATTCAATGCAAGTAATGTTTGGTGGGTTTTTGTTAAAAGAAAAAAGAGTTATTTTGCACAGCCTCAGATTCTAACTGATCTTGAATTTCAGCCTCCCTTACTGTAGGTAATCACTAAAAGCAGAGAGTACTAATTCAACATTGTTGAATTACACACATGCTATAACAGCAAAAATTATCAAATTTCAGCCTTATACAGAGATTGCTTTTTCCCAGTTTACCAGGCAAAGAAGAATTGTCTCAAGGATAGGAGACTAAGGGTGACTAAGCTTTGAGTCAGACCAGCCCATTCACAGCTTTCCTGAGGTTTCTGAACAGCAGGTTCAACCTCTCCCAGACCATTCCCACCAAGCACAGGGACACCAATTTCTCCCTTCATTATGCACAAAGCAGGGAGGCTCCCATAGCAATTGGGGACTTGTGGTGATAATGGAACTGAGATCCAATAATGGAATGCAACCCCCTGGTGAAGGGAAAATGCCATAGAAACATGGGATACCATGAGTCAGAAAGGTCTTTGTGCCCATCTCCTGGCCCTGCCCAGGACAGCTCTAATAATCCTGCCATGTGCTGAGAGGTTTATCTTTATTCAGCCTGTCAGTCTTGGGCTGTGACACCTTCCCTGAGGAGCAGAACTCTCAGATTTGCAAATACAGACCATGACCTCTCCAAAGGAGTGAGTGGAAGAAAATTGAAAACCAGTGTATGAACTCTAACTAGTAAATAGTTGTTTGAATGGAATAAGGACTCAACGGAGGTTTATTCAATGTTGTAAATCTATTTGGTTTCTTCCTAGGAATTTACAGAAAAGCAAATTAAGGAGCATTGGAAAGGTCTAGAATTGCACTGTCACTTTTGTTCTAAAAGTATATGACACATATATATTAATTTTCATGTTTTCAAGTAGCAGGTAAAATAAGTAAGCCTAGACAAAATAATTCAAGGCCAGGTTGGATAGGACATTGAGCAACCTGTTGTCATGGAAGGTGTCCTTACCCATGGCCAGGCATTGGAACTAGATGGTTTTTACTGTTCTTTCCAACCCAAACCATTCTAGGATTCTAGGATTCTATACTTTGTCATTTCTCTAAGCATTACAGAATTATAATATTTAATTTTTCCAGTACCCTTCTCGTTCTTCTCATATTTTACTATCTCCATTAGATTAAATGCTCGTGGATGTTCTTCAGTAGGAAAAGGCTGCTTGAACACAGAAAGCCTTGTGTTTTTGTTATAGTGACATGGTGGTTGTACATAGTTGATGTTTATCCTGTTCCTGGAGGGGTTTCATTGTGCCCTCTAGCAGACAGGAAGGGTCTGGAAATAAGGCTCTGTTTTTACCCTGTGCCTTGTGCTGGAATCCTTATGAGCCATCCTTATGCTGTAAGAATAGAAATGCCATCAGACACAATAAAATAATGAATTGGACTCAAAAAGTAAGACACTTGGTGTCATGTTACCATCAAAATTGAGAACCTAGAGGTTATTTTACTTAATAAATTAATTCCAGAAATCATTATGATGATACCACAAGATTTATTTGGCTAGGATAAAAATACATGCATTGCAAAACTGAGTTATTTCCTAGAATCATAAATTATCTTGAGTTGGAAAGGACATATAAGAATCATCAAGCTGAACTCCCTCTTGTTATATTAACCCTACCTTCATTATTATTATAACCAGCCCTTACAGAGAACCAACACATTTCTTGGCACATCTTGGGATAGGAAGTTACCTGACTTCAATTATTCCTACAGTCTTTATTTCTTCATTCTTTTTCCACAAGTGTGAAAGAACAGCTGCTACCTGATAGAATTATTTTAATTGGTTGCATGCCATAAAAATGTTAAAAGCAATTTTAATTTTAACAGTAAATAGGTTTTATTACCAAGTTATACTTTTGCTTATAGCTATAGAATGGCAATGGGTGGTTAAAAGAATATTTGATTCGGCACTATTATTTCTCCTGTATCTACTGTATAATCAATGAAGTGATACTATTTTGCCCTCAGGAACCAAAAAAAAAAAAAAAAAAAAGAAAAAAGAAATACTAATGGAAGCAATTAAAATATATGAGTAATACTGACACTTCTTTATTATCTTTCAGGTGCACTCAGAGTTACCCAACACATTAAGTGGTAATGATGCAGATACAGTTATTTTCCAGTTGACATGATTAGTTCTGTGTCCCAGACACATTTATCTTGTGCTTTGAAGCCCTTCACACTAAGTTATTGGATTTGGGAAATAAAGTAAATAGATATATGAAATGACCTCATCCCTAACATTGAAAGACATGGATAAGAATGGCATTTCCATGGTCTACAACACTATGAATTATTCTTGATTTTCTTGCTGTGTTCTGTAGGCTAAGGAATTTCAGGGAAGGATGGTGTAAAGATCTAGGGTTACAGACAAAGAAGTATTTCACCTTGTTGTCTGACCTTTGTGTGAGGCAGTTTTCTCCATGTTTACACCCTCAAAATGTCCTTGTGTTCACAAGATATTCTCTGTATATTCAAGGAAGATCATTATTGCTTAGTCTCACCTGAGTCTTGTGATGTTGTTGTCTTCACCTGAGCTTGTGTTTTCCAGATCCAATGTTTTTTTCTGTTTTTTGGAGAGGGACTGCATAGTAAGGCATTCCTAGAAATTTAGATGCTGTCTGGAACCTACTGACATCTGGACAGGAACCCTGAAAAATCAGATACATTTCTGTGGTGTATGATAAAAATCCTAAATTCTTTGAGCACAATTTTTTGAGACCATCATTCACTGAAGCACAGAGGAGTCATGACATGATGCAAGTCAAAATATTATTAACAATATTAAAATAAACTGGGAGTCTGTATAGCAATTAAAGGTGACCATGGAACACTATAATAGACTTGACTGAAGAGGGCCTTGACATTCCTTTGCTCTTTATAACTCTAAATTGCTAGATCTGGAATAATTTAGGTTCAAAAGACCTATGAGATGTGGCCAAAGTGTAGGACCTCATATTTGGTCTTGCTGAACTTCAATTTGATTGATTTACTAGAGCCGTGGGCTCCAGCAGGTATCAAAATTCAGGAAATATTTCAACCATTCAGGATAAAAATGTTTGTCCCACTAAATAAAAATTCAACAGCTATGTCAAAGTTATGGCTTAAACTCTATATCCAAGTTTATATTCTTACCTGGAACAGTAGCAAAGTGAGAGACTCTGAATACCAAAATATTGTGTGTACAAGACAGACATGAATGGAAGGCTGATGTAGATTTAGATTAGTTCAATTTCTTTAATCTAAACCAGATTTAGATTAGTTAAATTTCTTCAACCTAAACCATTCTCTGATTCTCTGATTCTATGAAGATTCTATGAGTGATTATTAATTATGGAAAAAAAAATCTGGTATTATTACTCGAGGAAAAAAATTGCTGTCTTTTAAGATGCTTTTTATGATGACACGTAGTGTCTGCACTATTTTCTGTGCAGATGATATACTTGCCCTAGTGAGAAATGGTGTTTCCTTTCCAAAAGGTGACTGGGTTTCATTAATACATGTTGTGATTCTGTGTGCTGGGAGTCATTAAGGGTCCCCACCTGTTAAAGGCAGGAACAGGGTAACAGCATAGCTTCATCTCATTTAAGCGTTGTTCTGTGCATTGTGAATATGACTGCTTTTATACACCAGATAACTGCCTGTATTTCTGAGCATGCAGCAACTATCATCATGTAATTTATCTTATCCACCTCATTATTATTATTTCTGGCACCTGAATAAAAGGTGTTTTTATTGCTCTCAAATATTTACTTTGTTAGCCCGATTGGTCTACAAGCCCAACAGTTTACTCTCTGATCATGCTGAAACTCTGACCCTCCCTCTGTGCCTCCCATGGGATCAGGCAATCAATAAAGAAGTATAAGGTTTTGCTTATTTATTTTAGTGCCTAAGTACTGCATTGCATGGCAACTATTGCCCAGCAATTGGAGTTGGACAAAGGAGCTGTACACTTCCTATTTTAAAAAAGTTCAAAAGAAAACTTCCTCCCAATGGTGTCATCCATATACTTGATTTATGAAAAGAATGATAATGTTGGTTTAATGAAATTACACAGAGGAAGTGGTTTATTTAGTCCATAAAATGAATATTTTTTTTTTTAAGCAGAATGACCAGTTAAACCTGCAGAGATGAAAAATTCGAAATTTTTCAGACAGCTGACCAGATGGATATAGATGTCACTTCTTGGAAAACAGGACATTGACTGTAACCATTACTAACTTGAAAATTAAACAGAGAGTTTCTAAGAGCAGAAGAGATTAAAAAATGAAATTAATGTAATTTTTTAATTAAGAGCAATAAGATTCAAAAACTATCTGTTTGTTGCTTTTTGAATGCAATATCCAGAGCTTTGAGCTCAGAAATACTTGGGGATTTCCCAAGCTGCACCTTCAGCTAAAACACATTTTCCTTTTTGAACTTTTTTCCTAAGGAAAAAATTAATTTAATCCAATAAGTGACTTATGTAAAGTCTCAGAAGGTACAAAAGAAACTAGGATGCTTTTTGGGCATACATGAAAAACACAGTACAATTATCCACGTTTCTCACTGGCACCAGAACCTGTCTCACTCTAGTCCCTGATCATGTTTGGAATTCTCCAAAAGAGTGGTTATTGAAACACAGCAAAATTTTGCAAGGTAATATGTTAATTGTTAACTGATGTGCATGGCTAAGGTTAGTGCTCAAGCCATCATTGAGTTCTACCCTCTTCTTTGACCTAATTGAGAATTTGAGAATTCTCTGGAGCAAACACAACAATGAACCCAATCACCAAGCAAAAAAACCCAGATCAAACCCCTAGGTGCTTTAAGTTCTGAGGCTGAGTTAAGGAAATATTCTTTCTTTTTATATTTTTTTAATATTATTTTTACCTTAGCAGCTTCTGAATAGGAAATGTGAGGATAGAAAGTGAGGATCTCTCATCACTCAGAATCCTTCAAGCTTCATTCAGGCTCCTACTTCTTACATGGATGTCTTATTCCATTTTTCAATTCACAAACCATTTTGAACCTTCTCAGCTATTAGTGGAGCTGTCCAGTCAAACATCTTAGGCAAGATTTATGCAAAGTGTCAATTTTTGTGCAGTTGTTATAGCTGGCAAATAAAGATGAGATTGCCTGTAATTGAAAAGGATGGCTAGGATTCTTAAAAAGCAAGACCATAAATGTCAGTAAGCTGTGCTTTTTTTTCCTTTTCAGATGTTGTTTTGCTGACATTTAAGCCCTATGGTTTGCCATGAGAGGATTCACCTGACTGAGCATAGACCTCTGTGTTGTAAATGTTTATGTTTGAGCTAGTCACCTTAGCTAATTACAGATGAAGGTGAGAAATAAGGACCTCTAGAAGTCATTCAGTGTTTCACCCCTAAGCTTATCCCTTGTTTCCTTTGGATCTTCCCGTTTTCCTATATCTTTTTTCCTTTTAGCTCAAAGTCAGTGTCACACTTCACACGATTGACGGAAAAATGATCTTATTTCTCAAGGGAAGAGGAGGGGAAGGATGGAGAAAAGTAAACACATACAGGGGGATGAGAAAGGGAGACAGAACATTTTCTATCAGCTTCTTATGTTTTCCTCCCTTTGATGGGCATGAATATCTATTTTCTCCAAATTATTGTCAGTCAAGAGAACAGTTTATATCTGAGGAATTACTGTTTCCTCTCATACTAATTTTTGGAAATATGTAAAATTGTGTAGAGTCTCACTTTTTTTGCCATCATTTTATCTCTTCTCTTTATATCTGATCTTTGTTCTTATGTGTTTATCACATGTGAGTACACCATGGCTCACATGCCAGTTTACAAAAGCTGGGGAAACTCCAGACACCAGAGAGCTGTTTTATTCCAAAGGCTGAACAAAGGCAGTGGGTACAATTCCATTTCTCCCTGACAACGCTGTTGTGGCAAATTTCAGGAGAATTTTCTTCTGTAGCCTGGAGAACTGGAATTGTTGGCTGCTGACTCAGGTGTAGGTTTAGGAAATTCCTTACTTAACAGTAGCTGTCATAAATTGTTACCTCCTTGTCCAAAGTTAACAACAGTCTGGGGTTCTGCAACAGGACTGAGAACTGAAGAAAAGCAAGATTTTTTCATCTTTGCTTTGTTTCTGCATGTGACTTCCCACAAATAAAGAATGACTTTAAGAACAGGGAAAATATTCTCTGGTTTATTACAGAGAAGGTACTTGCAGAGCGTGGTGAGAGGGTGTTCTCAGAGCTGTGCAAGGATGGGCACCCTCTTAGCTTCCAAAAGGCAAAGAGCTGGAGAGAGCTGTAATTCTCCATTCTTGTTTCCAAGTCCTTTCAACATAGCTGTAATGTTTCTATTAAATGGCTGCACAAATATGTAACACATATAGGATGCTGCAGGAACTGTTTAGTATTGTTGGAAGCAATTTTTTCCGCCAGGTGAATTTAGGACTTTCATTCAGCTCACTTTTCTTTCCAAGCCCAAAGTTCTCAGCAAGTAGAACCTGACCCTAGCTCCCAAAACCCATCCAGCTGAGCATCTCTTACATGGGCCAACTCTCAGTTTCTCAAATTTCCATTATTTGTGTCAGGCAAATGGACAAATCTAAAACTAAACTGATTTAAAACTGATTGATCTTTGTGTGCCACCACCTTCCAAATTTAATGATTTTTTTTTCATTTAATTTCATTATTTTTCTCATCCTTTTGTGATATATTAATATATTGCTTAGGAATTTTAGCTTGTTTTTATGTGGTGTTAAAATCTAAAATGAAATGCCAAGTTATCTATTGGTAGAAAAAAAATAATTCAAATAAATTGTGACAATAGATAAAAAAAAGGAAATAAATATTCATGAGCATTTTAAAATTTGAATTTACAAGAAATAAATATAGTAAATTGCTTTGGGGGAAATATGCAAATACTAAGGAAACAATTATTAATGCTCTGGTTATACATTCCCAATTTTGTGATTCATTGTTTAAAAAGCTGCACTGAGCTCCTATTGCTCATGCATAATAAAATCCCAGATTTTAGAGCATCTGGATTTTAGCTTTTGAGGAAAAAGAAAACCCAACTCACATTAGCAATTATGGAGAAATGTGGAAGCAATCCACACATATCTGCTTAAAATCAGATTGGGAAATAAACTTGATGGTTATTTCTAACCCATCTGTTTTCCATAATTGTACAATAATATATGCACTTGGGGCCTGCAGGAATCCCCCTGGGAGCACTTGATCTGCCTCAGATGACCAGCCACAGCACACACTCACCGTGCAGCACAGTGTGATGGAGTACAAGCGCTGTCCCTCTTCTTGGAGTCTGGGATGCAGAGTGTGTGCCCTCGTTTCTGGTGCTTGACTCTGGGATCCAGAAAAACACTGAATTTCGTGTAACGTGAAATTCATGAGCATGTTTTCATGCTGATCCATGAAAACAACTGTTAAAGTTAGATAGAAAAACCTCAAAGTGTGAGTGTGTAGATTAGAGAGTTTTCTTAAGTCACTGGGTGAGAGAGTTTTCTTAAGTCACTGGGTGAAAACATTAGTTTAGAGAACAGAAGACAAGATGGAGGATTTTGTGTTGTCTCTTGTCTTTCTTTCTTTCTTCTTCATGTTCTTCTCCTAGAGGTTTTTATGTAATAGTAGGTGATTGGACAGAAAATGCCACAGTGCAGCACATAACTGAAGGGTCATTGGATCATTAAGGAAAATAATATCCGTGTTTATTGTTAATTGGGTAAGAATATGCCAAGTTTTGTGATGACCTTCTAATAACCACAAGCAACAAGATTCTAATGAGCCTGGGAGTTTTCTTCAAAACTAAAGAACTAAGATAAGCAGAGCTCCCTATGAGGGAGGATCCCAAAAAGGAATTCAGTCCAAAAGAGACTGAGAGAACCAGGAAGAGAAAGAAAAATAGAGAAGAGATGCAGCAGAGTCAGAGAAAGAGGAAAAGGATTATTTAGAGAAAAGTTACACTTCTGACTAAGGGAAAATTTGGCTTCTCACATCTTTGGGTGGAAGGATAAAAGCTCTCAAAGCTGTGGGTGTGATAAGGCAGAAGCTCCAAGGCAACAGAGCTCTTGTGCCACATGAAAGAGCAGGGTGAAGCCTAGGTTCTAATTAAGAGTTGCATTGCTCCTTGTGTCTCTCTCCTCAGTCTCATTTATTAGCAGAAGCTGATACACAGATAGTTTCTTTATTTTGTCCTATAAAAATGTTTGTATGGGTTTTTGTGACATAATACTGAATACATACAAATAAACCACATCAGTAGGGTGTGTAGTCTAGAGAAGATGTGGTAAATAAATGTTAAAATGAATGTGTGTGCCTCTGAAAGAGAGAGAAAAGCCCCTTTCATAGTTGGGTTCTTAGAGTAAATGTTGTCTGGAGAGGTTGTGGACTCTGAATCTCTGGAATTTCTCAAGACCAGGTTGTATGGGGCTCTGAGTGCTGACCTTGTGGCTCTTACCCTACCCATGACAGAAGGGTTGAAATTAGATGGTCTTTAACATCTCTTCCCACACAAACCATTCCATGATTCTATCTTGTGAAATGAGAGGAGAAATAAATTATGGTGTTTCTCATAAATATGGAATTGTCTCTGAATAATTATCTTGAGCAGGGAGGAAATCCAAGAGGCATGTTTATGGCACTGCTTCATGCTTATATTCATATATGCTGCTCTTAAGAAATATTGCAGGCCTATTTATTCTCTACTTGTCTGTAGCATCTGAGAAATACACTCAAAGGTGTCAGTGGATGTGCACAATCAAAACAGAGTTGTTAGAAGAAAATAAATATCCAAACACTGTTCCACAGCTTGCTTTGTGACTAGTGATCAGCTCCCTGCCGTCAGCTTCACTGCAGGAACAGATTTTCACCTGGGCAAGAGTGGAAATTTTGGTGCCTTCCAGAGACTCCTATTTCTGAAAAAAAAAAATAGTATGGTGTTGTAATTATAATATTGTAATTATAGTGTTGTAAGTATAGGTCTGTATGCTTTCAAAAGCAGACTTGAAGAAATGTATTTTTAGGGATAGTTGATTATTGTGTTAATAAAGTTTGGAGTGATTTAACTTTATAAATCAGTACAGTGGTTTCTTGAAGATATTTTTTCAAGGTTTTTTGATAACCTGTGAAGTTCAGTGCTACAAAATCAACATAGGGTTTGATTTTTGGCAATAAATTTTTCATTTAACAGTGTAGCTAGGGGAAACAATTGTTTAGTTATCATAGAATTGTAGAATCACAGACTGGTTTATCTTGAAAGGGGCCTTAAAGATGACCTAGTTCCAATCCCTCTGCCAGGGACAGGGACACATTTGATAGCAGCACACAGGCAAAATAATTTGAGAAACAACAAATCACTCCCAGAGCATATATATGTCCTGATCTTGATATTGAGTAGTAAATATATACTTGTGCCAATCTTTAAGACTTAAGAGCAAAATGACACCAAATTCTCTGCAGTTTTTTCTCTCCATAAACCCTTGCATACGATTTATCTGAATAATCCATATCTACAGACTATCTCAAAAAACCCCAAAATATCTTTACTGAATAGTCACAATGGTTTGGGTTTTTTTTTCTTTATTTTGGGTCCTTTCATGACATTTAGCCAGTCCTGCAATAATGACACAGGGTGGAAATTCACGTGCAGATGGAGTCTAGAGCCACCTGTCCAAAGCAAGGCTTTTGACACCAGCAGCTAGCAGTCGTTAAACACAAAGTGAACTCCCTGTAGATGTTACACACATTTTGTAAGGCCAGGATTTGATGCAGCATGTTTTCAAGGCAGTCTCTTTTTCATACAGTGAAGTCTAATGTGAGTTGTCACATTACATCCAGCAATCTAAGTGACTTGCAAGTGTATTTTATTGTGGAAAGAAAAATGCTGGGATTTTTTTGTTTGTTTGTTTTTTGTTGTTTTGGTTTGTTGGTTTATTTTGGGGTTTCTTAATGTTTAAGGTATGCAGTTTGGTTTTGCTTTTTAATGAATGATGTCTTGGAAAACCTGTGCTAAGTTGATGTGGTGAGGGATGGCCAAGTCATACAATGCAACCAGAGTGAAATGATGTTTCATCACACCTCTATCCTCATGCAAAACCACATTTTGAGAGTTTGCTGTGACAGTTCACACTTCATTTATTGTAATATTTATATTACAATGGTGAAGTGATTGTTATTAGAAATGCCATTTTTTCCAACAAAAGATGATCACCACAACTTTTTTGACCAGAGTCTATGAGAAACTTAAAGTACCAAGTTTAAATGAAGAAATTTATTTAAAAGTAGAAAATTTCTTGTGATAACCCATAGAATCTGTTTCACTGTGAGAAATGGCTGGTGAGAAGGCATTTGTGAAAGTGAATTCCAAGTATACCAGTAAAGCATGGAGATGTTTTTAAAAATCTCACTCTGCTGGTCTGAAAGCTATTAGAAAGTTCAAAGAGATATTAAAACATGACTGTACTCACATCTATGATTTCAGGACAGAAAGAAGAGGACGTACCAAGTATGTGGTAGGTTTGTTGTGAAGCCAGCTGGACCTGTTTGCCCACCAGACATTAAAAGTGCAGAAAACAGAGTGAAGATTGATGCTGAAGGTGCAGGTGTTGCACAGACACTCATGAAAAGTCTTTTTAAAAAAACTAATTAATTTAATTAAATTTAACTAAATTATTAATTTAGTTAAAATAGTTTGGTAAGTTAACTAAATAGTTTATTTAATTAAATTATTCATTTAACTAAATTAATTTATTGGGATGTTAGCACAGAGCAGTGTTGAATTGAGATATCCAGTCTTTCTAATGGGATGGTCAATCCCATTCCAGACAGCAGCAGCACCAGCAGCTGTTTTATCTGGTTTTATCTGGCTCAGGTGTTACACTTTTTCCTAGCCTCACATTTGTTCAACTGGAAATCAATGATCCATCTCCCAGTTTTGCTGTTTACAAACACTCTCATTCTGGATTTTGTAGTTTAAGAATCACAGAGCTGCAGGATGGTTTGGGTTGGAAAGGACCCTAAAGTTGACGCAGTTCCACCCCTGCCATGGACAGGGACACTTTCTACTATCCAAGGTTGCTCCACCCTGGCTTTGGACACTTCCAGGGATGGAGCAGCCCCAGCTGCTTTGGGGAACCTGTGCCAGGGCCTGCCCACCCTCACAGGGAAGAAACTGTGAGGAAGGAAGTACCTGGGACCTATTAGAACCTCTTAGAAAGTGGACGAAGCAGCATCTTCCCTTTCTGGTGCTCCCATACTGATGTTCAAGGACTGCAAACAGAGCTGGACCCAAATATGTAACATCCACAAGAGAATTTGTGGATTCTATTAGCTGAGCTACAGAAGGAACAGCAGTTCCTTCTATTCATATAAAAACGTGGAGATTTTTAGGTAAACTTCAGGATTTTCAGATCAGATCTGAATAAGATGTTTCTGTGCTCGATATCTCACTCAGGAGATGTTTTAAGCTCTCTGAGCTCTACAGTTACCTCTTGGAGGACTGAAGAGGTCAAAAGGGATAAAAGGGATTAAGATTCCCCCCTTACAATGAAAGACAGTCACAGAAGAATATTTTTATAAATTATTTCAAACCTTGCAAACAGACAGCAAGGACATACTTAAAGAATTTTCACACAGATTTCTAGGCAATGTAAGCCAAAGAGTGCTGAATGTTTTTTATCTGCTCAAAATTTATATTCAGAGTAGGTTCTGTACAAGCATAGAAATATTCTGATTACTTTGGTTCCTTTAGAAAAATTACAAGGAAGTGAATTTATACTTCTAAATTCATTTAAATGTTTTAATATGCTGCTATTTTTGCCCTTGGATAGAAGTGGTTGCAAAAAAATTATGGTTTTAGACAACTTCCTTTACCCTAGTTAGAAATTATAATATCTGATATTTCAGAACATTTTCAGTTGCTGGAGTGAATCTTACTTTGGTTTTAATACATTTAATACATTATTTAATAAAATTAAATAAAATTTTATAATGATAACACTTTTAATAAAATTGAATTACATATACATACCAGTTGTAAAACCCAAATTTGTTTATGTATTTTTCTGATTCATTTTAACTCCAAAAATTATTTTGGCTGCCTTAGTCTATTTTTCAGAAATATATGTGACAATATGAGCTAACCAACTAATCTGCATAAGCAATTCTATTTACTCAAGAGTGCTGAATTTAAAATTCTATATGATCAGCTGGGATCAAAACAAAGGAGGCTTTCAAGCTCTTGTTGATACTTGTTTAAATTTACCTAAGATTTGAACCAGTCCAGAACTTTCAGTAGGGAATTTCTTAATATCACTGGCTCCCATTTACATTGATTCTGTACTGCTGAATAATGTAAAATGCAGAAAAAGATTTAGGAGAGAAATCTGAACACAAGATTACTTTTCCTGCCATGAGAGCTTTAAGATGAAGTTATCTCTGGTCTCCCCAATTGCGAACTGGCAGTTTCCAAAGTAAGGCTTATGAAAAAAGAGTCTTCAAAGAAACATTTTCCCTGAGATTAACATATTATCTGTGGAGAATAGAGGAAAACCTGAAATTACACCCATAACATGCATTCTGTATACTTTATCTCACCAAAAAACCAAACAAACAAACAGAAAAAACAAACCAAAAAAGCAATAAAAAAACCACAAACACATAAAACCCCAAAACATCAACAACTAAAAAAACACACAAAAAAATAAACAAAACCAAAGAACAGACAAACCAAAACCAACCAACAAACAAATTAACCCAAAGAAACAAACAAAACTCCCAAAAACACAACATCCCCCCACCAAAAAAAGAAAGTATTGGGAAAACACAGTTTTCCTTCACCTTTCAAGAACAGCTCTTCTCAATGGTGTAAGAGCAATAACATACATTCCTGTTTTAACTCTGGAGACTTCTTTGTTTATGAAATGATCTGTTGTCATCTGTTGTTGCAAAAGAAAATCATCTCAGGTTTGGTTAATCTCTACCTGTCCCTGCTTGCTGTGGGGTGGGAGCTGCTCCAGAGTGATGTGGGCACTGCTGAGACATCAGACATGCACTGCAGACCCCACAGGGACCTTTCACAGGGGATTTCAGGCTCCCCTCTGGGAATGAGGGAGCTGTGACTGTCTGCCTTTAGATGAAGTGTCAATAATGTGCCCTATTTTTGAACAGGTCCCTGGAGCTCCTGGTGCATCACGTAAGAGAGTCGGCTGGAGGGTAACCTGATAAGCCATCCTGCATATCCCTTGTAATTGGGATGTAAGATAATAAAAGTCTGTGTATGACAACTAATTAGAAAATTCCCTTGCTGGAAAGACTATCTCTTCATGTTCAGCATACCCATGCTTTGCTCAAATTGGGTACCTTTTTGCTCTCCAAGATAAAAAAAAATACAACACAAAAAAACGCCCTCGCAACCTGTTACTTTGACAGTCGTAAAGTTTGAGAAAAAACTGATTTATCACCTACTGGCTTGTGATTTCTGAGGCTGTGTGTGAAACCATCCAGCACATCTAAACAAACTGAGCTCTTGGCTGAGCAAGGGAACACGTGGTCTGTGTAACTGCATCTCAGCATGAAGTTTGGGATGTGCTATGAAGTGCACCATTATCCAAAACAAACAGCTGGCTCCATTAGGAGTTAAGAAAGGGAACTGATAACAAGCCTGTTCTCCCTAGGATAATAAACATCTATTGACTTTGCAGGTAATAATTCAGAAAAGCTAAATGGATTCTTGCTATTCACTCCAGACTTGTTTAATGGTAACAACTGAAGATTAGTTTCTACTCCAAATTACTGCTAATTGAATCTTGCTCTCTGTGTTTGTTTCTAGCTTTATCTGACTCTTCAGGCTTATCTGCAGTTCTGTAAATGTTTTGTGTTAATTCCAAAACACTGGCAATAAAATTCATTGTGCTTCCCACATCCTTTTCCATTACTCATGTGTACTCCATTCCTTATTCACTGATACTTCAAAGAAAATGACATGGAAATATCAGCATTTCTGACACACAAACAACTGAGACAGATGGAGTTCTAATTTGAAGTCAAATGCCTGATGCAAAGACACACATTCCCAGCTGTTAGTCCTGATGCAAGCACAGAATAAAATCTAATATTTCAGTTCACAGACATGCAGAGCCAGCGCAAAAGTAGCAGTGTCCTGTCTCAAATAATGAACAGAAGAACTGTATTTCTTCACCAGGCTCAAATGACATGTGAGACAAACCAGCCAGCTCTAGATTGAATGGGAGAGGAAAAAAAAATACATCCTTTGGGTCTTCTTGGTAATCTACAACTGTTGCAGACTGGCATATAACTCACTTAAGTCTTAACACGGCTCCTAATGCTGTCCATAACCAAAGATATCACATAAACACAACAGTCACTGTAGTCACTTCTTACACTTAAAAATTAGGATTTCAAATATCCCAAATCAGACTTTAAGTTCCTCATTACAGAACTTGCCTGTGTATGCATTTGACTTAGCATTTTGAATGTTTTTCAGGCTGCTCTGTTACATCAGTAACTTCCAGTATGGAGCACAATGCAGTAATTTTCTTCCATTTGATGCAAGAAATTTAACTTATCATGCCTTACTAAAACACAGTGCAGAGAAATGATGTAATCCATTGCCCTAGAATTCATGTCATACTCACTGAAAGCTTTCAGCATTGTAGATGTGCAGGGTTTCATTATAAATTTAGGTCATGTTACTCACGCCTCCTGCTCAATTCCTCAGCTCATCTTTGTGCAGAATATGCTTAAGTGCATTACAGTATTTCTCTGTCTGGAATTTGATTTCATTGATGGAGTCTGATCCTTGGCCTGCAGTTGCATCTTTCTGCAGGATCAGAATGATGGAGAGAAAATGACAGATTAAACAATTTAAAACCATGAAATTTAACCCATTCATTGAGTCTAGAAAGTTTTGTTGTTCTTATTATCTTCAGGTGCCCTTCATGCTTGGAGTGACAGTTTATTAGTGAGCCATGAGGATGCAGGAGAAGAGAAAGGGTTCAGAAAATATTCTAGTAATCTGGGTGTAAAACTGTAATATCAACTTGACCATTCTGACTCTGCAATGACAGATGATAAACTTCTCTCTTGTCTCCCATCCAAATGAATTAATGAAGAAAACAGGGAAAAATTCTAGTTCTTTCACAGCCAACAACCAGTGGACACATTTCATTGTTGATGGGGCAGATGGATGCTTTACTTGCACCACATCTTTAAGCCAACTGGTTGTAATGAGGGAATCTGGCATTTGCCAAATTTGTCTGGTAGTCTCATTTTTAGGAATGATTAGTCCCAATGCTTGCAGAAAGACATTTTTGCAGAATAGGAGAGCATCCCATGCTTAATCAAAATATGGCAATAGTGACAGCATGTTAGACGAATAAAAAAAAAATATCTTGTCAAGGCCTTGGTAACTGTCAATAATTTCAGATAAAATCAGATTACTGTATGATGCAATGCTCCTACAGGTACAGACACTGTGCTTTTTCCCTGCCACTGGCTTTGTCCTTGAAGCTTAAATTCAATTAAACAGACCTTCAAAGGAAAAATCTTGAGGGCAAAGGAAGGCAAAGTCTGCAAAATGACCTTTTAAGAGATGAGGAGATTTCTACTATCTTCTATCAGGAAATACTCAAGGTTGAATTAACGTCTGGCTCAGTTCAGAAAGCTAAATCCCTCCACAGTTGTGTGGTTTTCCTGAACAGATTGTCCAGGCTCGTGCTGCTAGAGACAAGAAAGAGGTAAGAAAAGTCAGTCCTTAGAGTCTTGCTATTCTCTGCTCACTGCAATAGAAGCCAAAATGATGCCTTTGAAATAAATATTTCACTTTCAGTCACTAAAGAAGAGATGGTTCCTAATAGTGTAAATTCCGTCATGTGAAGAAATTTTGAGCTCTGTTTATCTAGGGTGGGGTTTCCCTTGGACAAAAAATGACAAAATCTCATAGCTGAAAGCAGATGTTGAGTGTATGTCAAGCACATAGAGCAAGAGTTGTCACAGCTTCTATACTTTGTAGCAAAACATGGATGTCAGAACATATTCCTAAGCAAAAAGTTATTGAAATATTGTATTCCTATTAAATGTCCAAGGGAATTTTAAATTGTATTTCACTGTATTGGGAAAAAAAAAGGAAGACAGGACTTCAGGACTTGTTCCATCAGAGCTTCTGACCTATTTCTGTATTGACAGAACTGGCACCCTAAACTGTCTTGCTGAAAATATCCCAGACAACTCCAATGTCAGGAAAAGGCAGAATAATTTCAAGATTAGATTAGATTAGATTAGATTAGATTAGATTAGATTAGAGCAAAAATATTTAACAAAGAACAGACAAAATCATAACAAAAATCTGAAGGTGATTGATTATCTTCACATTAAAATGGTCTCAGCCAAAAGTCAGTTACAGGTTCCAATGCTCATTGTCCAGAATGAAATCCTGGGCCCTGTGATCTTATCAGAGGTCATATACTGAATTTTGAGAACTGAGTAAATGAGTTTGTATAAAGTTCATATTATTTAATGAAACTTTAAGTCATTCTGTGTGGTGTTTTTCTAGCTTGTTTGAAAATACTTTTTCATTTACAATGAAAATTACATCTTTAATTTTATATGTAAATCTCTCTATTTACATATGTAAAGGTTTCTGTATTGCAGAAATAATTATACAACATGATTGCAAAGTTTGTTTTACTGCATTTATAAGGGAGAGGAACAATTAAGTATAATCATGTTATAGGTAATGTTTTAGCCTAGCTTAGTGACTAGCATTAATATACAATCCTTAATATATTTGTTTCTTTCATCAGGGTCTAAGAAAAATAATTTCTTAACAAAAGCAGAACAAAATCAACCCCAAGGAAAAATCTTTGTTTGTTTTTAATTTAAGTTTCATATTAATTATAAAACCAGCATGAAGTAAATGAGACTCAAATGTCTCATTTTCATTTCTGATTTTTTATTTGGTTGTTTTGTTTTGTTTTGGTTTTTTTTTTCCCTTCAGTGATCTGGTTTTGTGTATTTGTGGGAAAATGTTGCTGATTGCTGATTGCATTTTTACCATTGGATCTTCTCAGTTGCTCCAGGGTGGCCACAATGCAGCTAGAACTACAGAAATGAGAATGGGTACCAGTCCTGGGTGCAAGAATATGCACTTCTGACTCATGGGAAGTACTGAAGTAAGGATTATATATGATTTTTCTAGTTCTGCCTCTAATTTAACCTTCAATAAATTTCAATTTTAAACAAAAGAAAATTATAAGAGCTTCTTTGAAGTCTAAGTGATTAATGACTTTAATCTCTTAGAGATTCTCAGATAAACTGTGCTTAGAAGGCCAAACAAACCAAAAGTAGTGGCAATAGTGACAGTATATCTCATTAATGTCCCATCAGCATTAATTTAAATTTTATTTATTATAATTGCCTTTGCCTGGAATCCTGTTTCATTCTTGCAAGCTGTACCCTTTGCTATGGACAGGTGCTTTTGGATGGCTACTGTGCAACGTCAGATACGCAATTAATATAAGTTGCAATTAATATAAGCTGCAATTAATATAAGTTGCCTTGACCTTCTCCTCTGAGCAAGCTGTGTTTTAACAGGCAAAGCTAGCTGGTTTCAGCAGGCAATTCTATAGCTGGAACATGGATGTCTGCTCCCCAAGGACATATGTAAATCCAGAAATGCAAGAAAATCCCTTCTCTTTTTTTTTTTCCTGCCCTTTCCACGTCTGTGATTCAGAGTTGGACACATTGACCTTCTTCCCCCGCATACAGCTGCAGCAGCAAGAGAGTGAGACAAGCCAGACACCCACTCACTCATCCCATAAATGTTATTAAGGGGACAGGAGTGCAGATTACTTGAAAACACAGTGGCCAGAAGCTCAAACAAGATGTTTGTGAGGTGCCCACCTCCTAATTTAGCCATACCTATATTTTAGCTTTAGAACATGCTGAGAAGTCATCTTCTCACCAGCACTAAGCAAAATGGGATCATAACTCCCCCTGATCTGATGGCTGTGTTTTTCCTAGTGCAGCCCAGTGTGTGGTTTGCCTTACTCACAGCAAAAATATGCTGTTGGATTGCATGTGTGTTGTCATCCACTGTTACTCCACTGTTACAGGTGCTTTCCAGCAGAGCTCCCAGTTTGTTTATAGCCCATGCCAGTTCATAGGCAGGTCTGTTCTGTCCTGAAGCAACTCTTTACACTTTTTCTTGCTGAACTTTCAGGATTCTCTAATGATCCAATCTTTAATTTCAG